TTTTTTAAAACTTTCTACATTTTTGACATGTGTCCGATTTGGCATAAATTGTTAATATGAAAAGGAAATGAAACATTAAATACAACTATATTTCATATAATTTTTTTAAAAATACATAAAAAAATACCTAAACGAAATATATTTAGTAACTACAAGTGAAAATGGCAAAAACAATTTCGGTCTTTGTAGTTGTACCTATAGGCAACATTGGGGTCTGCCTTGATTTTTGGTGTTGCGTGAGCTCCTGTTGCAATTTATGCTAAACCAAGGTTGAATTTTAGTGGCTCATAATCGTCAGAATTTCGTTAATGTCCATTTTTTTTTTCACAGGGAAACAATAATTCTTAAATAATTTTTTTTAACTTATAAGTATTCAGTTATATACCTTAATATCGAATTAAGGAGATCAACACCTTCCTTACAGTTATTATACATTTCTATATACTTTGGACGAGGAACCATAATATGCTTTTTTGCTTTCTGCAAAACCTCTCTACTTTGGAAATGGGCTGACTGTCTATGACTGTCTACGGAAAAATTTCTGGTTACAAAAGGCTTGCGACAGGGATGGTGTATCTCACCAACCTTATTCAAGATCTATGTTGCAGCAGCATTGGAAAGAACCATAATATGCTTTTTTGCTTTCTGCAAAACCTCTCTACTTTGGAAATGGGCTGACTGTCTATGACTGTCTACGGAAAAATTTCTGGTTACAAAAGGCTTGCGACAGGGATGGTGTATCTCACCAACCTTATTCAAGATCTATGTTGCAGCAGCATTGGAAAGATGGAAAAAAAAGGTGCATAGGATGGGTATAGAGCTTAGCAATAAATGTATATATACACTCCAGTTTGCTGATGACCAGGTGGTACTAGCGACCGACAGGGAAGACATGCAGTACATGCTTAGAAAACTGATAAAAGAATATAACGACTGGGGAATGAATGTCAATACAACAAAAACCAAATATCTTTGTATTGGAAACGAGTAAGATAACATAGACCTCGAAAACGGACAACATATTTCCTGCTGTCAGAGCTATGACTACTTGGATGTTACCTTTGACAATACAGGAACCATAGAATAGATATAGAAAAATTAATCCAAAACCAATCACTCAAGCAAAGAAAGTCTTAGGATGTCTCAATGATATACTGTGGAGTAAAGAGATAACGAAAGAAAGAAAATTTAATATGTATGAGACCAGGATTAAAACTACTCTTCTTTATGGCGCTGAAACATGGAGAATTAGTGAAAAGAACAAAAAGCGAATAGAAGCAGTAGAGATGGATGCAATGAGAAGATCTTTAGGTATTTCCAGACGAGACCCAATCAGAAATGAGGTAATAAAACAACGTATGGGAATAGAAGGAAATATAACTCAAGATATAGAGAAAAAACAATTAAGGTGGTATGGGCATGTTCAACGGATGCCAGCAACAAGACTCCCCAAAAAAGTAGTAGAATGGCAACTGATAGGTCGACAGAAAAGAGGAAGACCCAGATTAGAATGGCAACACGGCGTAAACAAATCCATGAGCGAAAGAGATTTAACAACAAACGACTGCGAATATAGAAAAGATGGTGTTAAGGTATCGGACAACGTCGAAAGACGTTCTAAACCGATGTATATATATATATATATATATATATATATATATATATATATATATATATATATATAAAGAAATAAGAATATGACTTACTGACAACCAATTTATTTTATCACCAACGACTGGTTTTGCATACATAATTTTCTATGCATGTTGAGATTAACAGTACATGGTAGACTAAATGCTAAAAGTATAATAAATTGATTGAAGGTTGAACGCTCGAATAAATAAACTTTGATCAAATGAAAGGCAGATATCTAGCACAGTTTTAATAATTTAATCTTGCCTAAGTACTGTCGCTTCCTAGAGCAACTTCAGGAGCATTTTGTCAATTTTGGCCTATTCAACAATATTATAGAATTTCATAAACATAAAATTGTACATAACACTACACTACACAAGGATAAACAGTTTAAAATTATTTAAAAGATAGGCGAAGCTACATTATTGTCGGCAACAGGAGAGAGAAATATAATAACCCGTATTGGGGTGCTGTCAATGTTAATTTCAATTTTACTAAATCATTTTTCACTTAATTTTTTATTTAACTAATTAAATTGATATAAAATAATCATACACGTGTAATATTGGCATAATGGCTATATATTCTGTAACAGACAACACCTTAATACTTGTTATTACATTTATATTTTCAGTGTTTAGTTCACCAAGTACCGTTGACCTGAAGATGCATAGCAAATTATAGTATGCGAAACTAGTCGTTGGTGGTAAAATAAATTGGTTGTGAGTGAATCTTATTCTTATTTCTCTTGACCTATTTGAAATCGACTTACACAGGCATCATATTCAAGAGTTCATATTTATTATCAGCAATAAATTGATTATGTTTTAGTGGAACCTTTAAATATCTAGACATCAAAGAAACGTTTTTGTTTAACTCAATGCTCGGCGTAATACATGACTCATCCTCTTTGTTGACCTCATAAACGATGTCAATATCACCACCTATTCTTTGGTTGTTATATACATAATACAACTTCGGCATAGAGAGTTGCTGCCCTGGTAATCGATTTATACCGAAATCATCTTTGCCTCTCGACTCTTCGTATGTTAGAATATTAAGCTCAATGAGGTTTAATAAATATCTGATCCACATCATAATCATCTTCATATTATGCGATTTGGAGAGCATTCTCTAAAGTCAAAGCCTATCTGAAAAAAATAAAAATAGAAATAATTAAATAGTAGTGTATTGACCCAGCGTTGCCATATGGCAACACTAAGATCACGGTAATGATAAACGTACCTTAAATAATAATTTTATGTATTTGACATTATTAATAAAGCTTGGTCTGTGTGTTTAATATGTATTAAAAAATTATAACTTTAATTATTATAATTACTGAATTGAATGTCCATTTGGGATGTAACCACAGAAATCCGAAACATGTAAAAGATCAGTAAACACGTGTTTCGACAATCTTACTGAATCGGCCTACAGCACCAAATGTGGTACAAAAGACACAATTTATACACTAGGAATATTTGTATGAACACCCGATTCGCGTTGCCGTATGGCAATGTTGAGCTAAAATGGGTTAAGGAATCAGAAATATTTTCTTTTCCAACTCGTTATAACTGCAATCTTATCTGTGCCACATTCTTCAAAACGATAAATATTCTCTTTTGCACCTCATCATGCAAGGAAGAGTAAAGGGAAAAAAAGATTGGGAGGAAAGAAGAAATCTTGGCTGAAGAATATCAGGAATTGGACTAACCTCAGTGTTGAACAGATATTTTACGTTGCAAAAGATATGAAAGCACTTAAAGTATGAGAAATCGGGAGAAAAAAACTGTTTGAGATTCGAAATAGACGATAAAAAACAAGTTTAATTATGAAGAACTAATAAAAACAGTAGAGCATACAGAAAAGTTGCCGAGGTAATCACCAACATTCAATAATTGAATAGTGTACCAAAAGCAAAAAACACTTACTGCTAACTAAATACATTTATTTCGTAAAATCGTAGTCATCCGTTTTTTTTAATAAAAGCAACGATATGTTGTATATTATCAATATTTAAAATATACTATCGCATGATCTTCAGTAAAAGTTGGATATTTCAATTCCACGAAAATACGACTGTTTTAAATTTTGTTTAAGGTATCGATTTAAATGGTCCAATGTACTGAATTGTACAACAAAAAATTCTCCGCATTTTTAAAATATTGTTATGACATATAAACCTTAGATTTAAATATTAAGTCATGATATAAATATAGAGTTGATAGTTTATAGAACAGTTGTAATTCAGATTTTGAAGTATATAATTACTATCATTGAGTTTAGTATTGTAAACAAATTAGTTTTTTAATTAAGTGATGTAAACGAAGTGTAACAATACTTCGGTGATTAAATAGTGTAATTTATTTAGTCGAATATTCAATTAGTATTAAAAAACAAAACAACTTACTTATTCTCTAATTTTTCTAACCTCCTAAAACTATCATCAACCATCAGATTCACAGAACTTTACAATGAGAGAGTACATTAAATATAAAGTTATCTATATCTAAAAACGTCTCAGCATTTTTGGCTTCAATAAACAACTACACTACACTAAACTCTCTCTTAACGGCACCTCTCTTCACCGGACACCTCTATACGGATGGTTTTTAAAATTAAAATCAGTCGGCTATATATGAAACTGTATGTAAATTTTTGTTACTTTTTAATCTGTAACGACTCGGTACTTTAACTATCAATAGTTGGTATGTCATACCCGTTACTTTCGGAACTTTTAAGAGTACATCCACGCAAAGCAAACAAATATTGAAAACTAACAAAGTGAAATATTAGATCCTTTTTCTGGTTTCTGAACCATCGTTCTGCCAATTTCTTTTCATTTACATTAAAAATAGTATTTTTTTTTATTACAGTTGCAGTACCTAATAAAGTAATAAAATAGTGTAATATAAAAGAAACCCGGCACGCCTCTTTGGTGTTTACATTTCACGGAAACTCAACCCAAATGTATTATGAACACATTTTGGCTTTATAGACGTCATTGTATTTATTTGTAGGACAGTTTGCGTAAAAATTTTTGTTATTTCGGATTAAATTTCACAATAAATTTTGCGTCTATCTGAACATCTATTAACTGAAATAATTTTAGTTTAATTGTCAAACTAACAGTAGATCCATTTTATTGGAATACTGTTTAGACCAATTTACTTTCAAACTTCTACTTGCACAGTAAAATATTCGTTGTGGCAATAATCCAAAACAGTCGTATATTCGTGGAATAACTTATATAAAATGTTTTATCTCTGAGTACAAATATTTTAATTAGGAAACATTTTATAATATTTTTAACAATATTTCTCACTACCACAGGATCATAACCTACTTTTTGTTTTTTAAAGGGTCTGCAAGCTATTCGTTGCCCTGCTGGTCTATATTTCGACATTGAAAAGCAAACATGCGACTGGAAGGACTCTGTTAAAAACTGCAAATTGAAAAACAAAGAACGGCGGGTAAAACCCATGTTGTTTACCGACAAACCGGTATGTAACGAAGGAGAATTGGCCTGCGGAGATGGTCAGTGTATAGAAAGAGGGTTGTTCTGTAATGGGGAAAAGGATTGCCAGGATGGGTCTGATGAAACTACCTGTGGTAAGTGTGAATTTATTTTTGAAATATTGTTTATAAACCTTATTAACATAAATATAAAAATAGATTTTTAACTTGGTTTTGCAAAACTAAATTGCTTACATTTTTTTGCTCATATTTACAGATAAAACAATTTGGATTATTATAAAAAAAATTATATGCAGCTTTCCACTGGATTACTTTTATTAATTATTAAGATTTAATACAACTAAGTTTCCTTATTTTTATGCTAGTGGGATTAATGTTTAGTACCAGTCATCTTTGAATTTTTCCAATTATAGAATAAACTTTTTTCCCATATTCCCATTTGGTTGACTAAAGGTGTGTTCACACTTAACAATGGAACGCACTGCTACAGTCCAGAATTAAGTGCCCTATTGCGCATTAAGTGGCAAAATCACGCCAGCTCAGTCAATTGATTTTTTTTCCTGGTTGGTGCAGTTTTTTTTTTCATCAAAGTTATACCATTTCTTTTACCTACAAACGAGTTTTGATAATTTTTCCTCATCTATTTGATTTTTCGGTTGCACACTAACCGCAACAATTTCTTTTGTAAGTTTTGGCGCGGTTTGGTATGAGTTGATGTCTGGATACGTTTTCGTTAAGTGTGTAATGATTCATTTCAATATACATACACAACGACATGAAATTGCCAATTATCATGGTGCGTTCCGTTGCCAGCCGATTGGATCAAGTGCGCTTATACCTTAAATCAGTGCCAGTGTTCCCCGATCGTGTACAACATGAACAAACGGTTAAATAATTTACATTTACGACAATTCGACACAAATTTAAGGAAACGGTATGAAAAGAATCAGATTGGAATGGATATTTTTAATCCATGTTTATAAGCGCGGAGTATTGCAAAATTATTTTGTTTCGGATTTTTCTTATTGAGATACATTAAGTTTTATTGTATGTATGAACGAAGAACAGTCTTTGGAAGTCATACCTCTTGCTCTTTTTCTACTCTTGCACATCTTCCCGGAGGCATAAATTTTATTATATAACAAAGATGTTTGTAATTTAGTAGAATTAAAATAACTATCAAAGAAAAGTTTATGATTTTGGCCAACTAACTCTTTTGTCAGATCTTCCACAACTCGCTTACCTAAATTTTTTTCTGTAATGTTGTCTATTTTCCCGGTGCTTATTTGAAATTCGTGCATGTAACCAGTAGAGTCTGCCCTTACCCAAACTTTATATCCTCCTTTTGTAGGCTTGTTCTGGCATATATTGTCGAATGCCATTTCGTCCTGCAAGACAATGTCGGAGTTTACGTTATCTATATCCGAACTCCGAATATTTTCCTCCGGATATCCGAAAGAAATAAATGTTTTTGTAAGTTTATCCAAGAGTGGCCGAGTTTTGTAGTATTTATCGTAGTTTTGCTCATTTTTCTTCGGCTCAACGGAATTATCATTGAGATCAATGTTACTAAGAATCCAAGAAAATCGGTTTCTGGAAATAGCACTGCTAATAAAGGAATCTCTGATTTCTTCTCTGGACAACCAACAGTCTTGACAAAACTTGACATGATTTAACTTGACATTTTTTTCAAACTCATGAGCAAATTGACACCCAAAAATATTTTTCCTCGCAAGCTGTTAAAACAAAATTATTAATATTACCATTTTTTTGTATTATATACAAATTCGTTTGGAAATCAATGTGTTTAATGAGCTCCTTAGGAAATAAGAGTAGGAATATATCTGTAGGACTTTTATTGTTCTCGGGTACATTTGATCCAGTTTTTTCACAAAACTCCTTGATTTGATTCACGTGTGAAACGTCAAGTGTCCATTTTATGATCTCTTTTTGGAGTCTACTTTGACTTTAAGTCAGGAGCAAGTCATATTTACTAATTCCATCTTTTTTTGCTGAGGAACAATATTTTCTGTATCCGGATTACTGTTTTCTAAAACTTCCTGCTCGTCGTTCATCACATTTTCCAAATCTGAAGTCACTGATTCATCACACTTGGTATTTCATCCAATATTGCATCAAAGTATAGACGACAGGAACAACAAACAAAATCTATATCTGTCTACGCACATCCTCCTTACTGTTTTTACAGAAAAATATAATAGATACAAGCTTTGTTGTGATGTCACTCAGCTTGTCAAATATTTCTACTCTGCATTTATTTGAGCAAAATTTTATAAATGTGTTAAAACTAAAGTTTAAGAATGATTTTTCGCTTAAATATCTATTTTCTTGGCACACTTTCAGAAAATTTTGTATACAAATTTAACTAATAAGAATATGTTGTCTTTTAGCTGTTAGAAATAGCATTCCTTGTTTGTGCAAAATAGTAAGGTTGATGAATTTGTTTAAGAAATATAATACCAATACTATTTTGTTATGAATAAAGTGTACTTTATGTCAGTACAGAGTGATTATCATATTACAATTAGATTGAAGTCTACATTTCCTAGAAATCAAATATTTATCTTGCGTTGATTCTTCAAGGCAACAAATTAATTATTATACTTGACATTGAATACTTTGTTTCTTCGTAGTGGTTTTTATACTAGTTTTAGTAAATGGCAAAAACTAACGGAATAAACTAATGGTATATTATTATAACAAAACAATATCTGTGGATTTAGTCTGAATATCTTTAAATATATTTATAATTCTGATGTATAGGAGATAGTCAATTCTCACAAAGCTTAGGTAGTTTTTATTGTAGTGAAATTTTAGACTACCGATTTCGAGGCTTATAATATATGCCCCATCATCAGGCCACAGTAACGAGGTTTTTTTAATAAAAACCAAAAGCTAAAAACAACATATAATAATTATGAACACACAGTATGAAACAACAAAATTATATTAAATTATGCCAGAAAATATAACGTTAATTGAATAAGAAAGTTGATATTACTCATATATATAAAAAATGTTGATTTAATAAGACATCAGTGACAATGGCTATAACCAGTCTGATGGAAACTGTGCAATATAGTCAGTCATAAACTGTTTATTTGATGAAGGGTATGTAAAATTTAGATTAAAATTAAAAGTTCAAAGTTAGACAAATTATATGAAAGAGTATATTGCACATGATTAAGCCCAATGTAATAGGTAGTTATTTCCTCCTCTTATTAAAATTTTGGATTTAATTGTCAAATTTATTTCAACATCGGTTCTTAATACTCTTCGATCCACACTTTTAATCTGCCACGCGTGGGTCAAGTCCTTTCTTGACTTGTTCTTTACTTTAGCAATGCTGTATAACCTTTTCATCGCCTCAGGTGTTTCCAACTCTTCACACAACTGTGCAGACGATCTTTCCTTAGATGTAGCTACAGCGCGCTTTGCGCCCCTCTTTGCTAGTTTGTATATATCCTTATCTCCTTCCATTTTTCCTAACCTAACCTAACCTTCTGTTTCACCTTATTGTTCCACCACCAAGTTTCTTTGTCCCAAGAAAGCAGTTTACCAGATGTTTTCCTAGCACTTTCTCTCCACCACAACTTTAACGTTGCCTTTCCACTAGTCATTTACCATAGCTCAGTGGCTAATGTATACTATCGCTCTCTTATAAGACATATATTTTAATATTTTAATTATATAATTATATTGTTATTCAACTGCATTCTGTCTTATCGCATATTATTAGAGCTTTCGATATTCTCAACATTCTTCGGCAATCAAACATTATCTTTTGATTTCACCTTATGTTTATTGGTTACAGAAATTTTTAACTATTTTAAATAATAAATGAGCTTATCTTTCGACAAATACATTGTTAAATTAAATTTTTCTACAATAAAAGTAATAAGCAAAATGTCTTTATTATAATTCGAAATTTTAGTTTTGCGTCTTTAATTGCTTCTTCTTCCTTCTTGTATGTAGGCTGTAAAGCCTGTTTTTTCTTTAATGTTAGCTTTCTAAATTGTTTAAATATTCGAACCATCTTTTTGTTGGTCTGTCAAGGCTTCTTCGTCCATTTGGTGACTTATCTCGTACTATTCGTACTATCCTATCCTCTATCATTCTACTAATGTGTTCGTTCCACTTCTGTTTTTGTCTTGTTACCCATCCATTTATGTTTTCTATATTGCATGTTTTTCTTATGTTTTCGCTTCTCTCCCTATCCAACAGTCTTTTCCCTGATACTTTTTCTTTCTAGTAGTTTCTAGTAGTCGTGTTGTTTTAGATGTGTCAGGTCTTGTCTCTGCCGTGAATGTTAATATGGGTATAATTGCTACTTTATAGATTCTTGGTTTTGTGTCTTGTCTTAGGTATTTGTTCTTCCAGATTGTGTCATTAAGAGATTCCGCCGCTTTACTTGCTTTTAAGCTTTGTTTTCGTACTTTTTCTTCAACATCTCCGTAACTAGTCTTTATTCCCTAATCTCTATTCCCATATATCTAAACCTTGCTTCTTTGAAGTGTTAATCTTTGGATCCCGTCTTCTGTCTCGTTGATTAATGCGGCGTCGTTTGCATAACATAATATTTGGATTTCTCTGATCTTCATTTTGTAACCATGACCTTTACGTACGGCTTATATAATTTCGTCCATTATAATATTAAAGAGAAGTGGGCTTAACGAGTCACCCTGTCTGACTTCGCTTTGTGCTGGTATACAGTGTATTAGTTTTCCATTAATATTTGCCTATATTCGATTATGTAAGTAGATGTTTTCGGCGGTTTTTATATTATTGATTGACATGTCTCTTTTATACAGTAGGTGGTTTATTGGTTTTGTTGGTTAGGACTTCTATGGTAAGCTTAAATGCGGTTTTCAGTACATTTATACCTCTATAATTGTTGGGCTCTTCTTTATTTTATTTCTTGAAAAATAATATCCTTATGCTGTTTCTTCATGCATCTGGTATCTTGCAGTGCAATATTAATTTTTGTATAAGTTTTGTCATCTCTAGGGTTATACTTTCTTCTCCGTGTTTTAGAAGCTCGTTGGTTATTCCATCTGGTCCTGGTGATTTTCTATTTTCAACTAAATTTATGGCTATCTCTACGTCCTGAAATT